CAGCTCCGTTTGGGAGTGACAACTACCAGCGCGTGGAACGCGGTCGAGATGACCTAGCTGCTGCGCCTGAGCTTGCTGCGAAGGCACTTCGCCGAAACGCGGCTCCGCTGCGCTCTATTCCCTCTGAAGTCATCGTGCTGGGGCTGGATCCGACGAGGAGGTTCGACGGCGCGCATCGGAAACCACGCAGGAGACGGAACGAGGACGGCGACGAAGTTGAGGGTCCGACGCGGCGGCCACGGGCCGAGTTTGTTCCGAGGCATCGTTTGGCTGGAGATAGGCGTGGCATTGGCGCCGAGGCGCCTCCGACCTCCAACGAGCTGGGTTTGAAAGCGCTGCAGAACGTTTTTCATCGTGCTAGACGTGTCGAGAGGACACCTGTTGCGTGGCACCATTCACGTGCGACTGGGCTGGATAAGCACAATAATAAAGATGGCTTTGCTGCCCGTCGATACATTCATGGAGTGCGTCGAATGGGGGCGCTGTGGTACAGGGCTCAGCTGACGCGCGGCGTTCCTGATGGGGTGCTTGATCAGGAGCATAGCTGCTCTGATATGTCAGGAAGTGCTGCTACATCGGCTCCGCTTGCTCGGAGTGTCGACGGTCGCGTCCAGGGAGGACATGGCGAACGCCTTTGGCTGCTCGACGTGTCCCGCCCTGCATGCGGCGGCGGGGGCCTCGATCCAGCCCGTGTCGCAGTGCTACTTTCATCGGCGGCGCGAGACTAGCACGTTCACCATGCGCGGGGCTGACGGCGAGCAGACGATGAATAACTTGCGCGGGGCCCTCGTGGGCGACGCGCCTGCAGCGGCGTTCTTTGCCGGAACCTTTCGGCAGCCAGTGCAGCGGTGACTGGATCTTCTCCGGTCTCAGACTTGGCATGGGCAGGCCCCCGCCCGTCCTCAGACCTGCGCCGAGTGGGTCGACCAGGAGCTGGCGCCGCCGCCGCCCCCCGCAGATCCTGATCGCCCGTTGCGGCGCTGCGCGCGGCATGGGCCCCCATCACACAGCGCCCAGTGGATCAGTCGACGCGTATTTACGCCGACGACACGAATGAGACCCACGTCGTGACGTCGGCCAAGAACGCGCTGTTCACGCTCGGGCAGTCACGCGTGCACTTGGGCATTTCGTTATCTTCAGACGTATATGCCCACGACGCTGGGAAAAGTTGCGCGCCCCTCCTCCTTCGTCGGCCCTCGGTCAAAGGAGTGCAGCGCTGCTGTGCTTGGGGGCGCTATCCGCCCTCCTGGGCAGGCCCAGTTCGACAATATTGCGTCGGGTATTCAAACGTCTGTAAATGGAGGGGCGCAGGGGGAGCTTCAGAGGCGCATTCAGGCGCGCAGGAGATGCTACTACCCGATGGGAAGGGGGGTTCTGGGCCACAAATCGAGTCTGGAGGTTCACTCGCATAGTTTTCGGCGCTATCGCCCATGGGGCCCTGTTGTCTGGAATGACTGCGCTCGTCTTGCCGGAGGCCCGCGAGTTGCGTCTCGACCGCGCGCTGATTGGCTTCGCCCGTGAGCTTCTAGGGGGCGATGCGCGCGCGAAGGCGGGGGGGCAGGATAAGGAGGGCAACCCTGTATTAGATGAGCAAGGCAAGGCGTTATCGGGCCCTCGCGGGCGCGGTGCCCCCCCGTCGTGTCGGAGTCGCCCCTGCGCGAGTTGAGTTGCACGTTTGGCGCCTGAGGCAGCGTCATAGGCGGATCAGATACCCCGAGCGCCATCCGCAAGAGCTTGGCGCGATCTTCGGCCAGTTGCCGCCCGGCAACCGCCCCGCCCTGAACGCGCAGGGTTTCTTGCACGAGCGCTCAAACACATATGCTGCACGCTTCGCGCCGGACATCCTAATCCTGGTTCAGAAGTCTGAGGCGGAGCTGCTCGAATCTTGGCTTTTCACGGGCCCCTCGGATGAGCCCCATGTGAGATTTTGCGCGCGAGCCCTCTTCATGGGCGGGAATTTCAGGGAGCAGTTCTCGGCGTTAGATCCTGGGCTCCTACGAGCTGAAACTAAGACGGTCGCGATTCCACTACCCGTTGGGCTTCGCGGTCCTCCTCCTGATCCCCCAGAGGTTCTCGAAGGTGCTCTTGAGGTGCCCCCGCCAACAGTTGCGACATGGAATTGTGGCCTTCTGGACGACGACGGGACGGCCTGCGGGGGATCTTCGCCACGAGGAGAGCGCTACTAGCACATCAGAGGTTCGCTAAATGATGGGGGGGCGCTCTTGCCGCTGACGAATGCAAGCCGTCGCTGTCACTAGCGAGCGCATCATCTGTCAAAGTTTTCGGGCCCGTCGGGTCGCGCAAGAGCACGCAGTGCAGGCCGTGCTTCGGGGTCGGCGCCCCCCGCAGGTTACGCCCTTCAATCACCCCGCCCAGGATCCAGAGAGCTTGTTCTGCCCCCTCGCCGACGCGACCCGAGGCGCACACTCTGGCGGCCAAACCTGGTGTGCACGCGCGTTCTGCTGCAAGAGGTCGGAGCCGTTCGGGGATCGAGAGCAAC